GGCTGGCTGGTTCGCTCTGTAAGTAAGGCTTTTCCCTATTAAATACCCTTATATTTCTACCTGACTCCGTATTGGTAATTTCCTACTATATAGGACTTTTAAACCAAATTTGAAAAGTGTTCAAATGGACACATCATAACTGATGGAGAAAGCCCTCTGAACGTGGGTGTCAGTTGGGGGCTTGGGCAGTCTATGGGGCCCCTAGCAGTGGAACCAGTATTTATCCCTAGTGCACAAATGGGCTTTGGGAGCCCATTCCCTATGGAGGGATACTCTCTCAGCCTAGATACACAGGGGAAGGCCTCGGTCCTGCCCCAAATGATGTAACAGACTTTGATGATCCTTTATGGGAGGCCTCACCCTCCCTGAGGAGTGGATGGGGGGTTGGTGAGGGGATAGGAGGATGGGAGGGAGGGGGAACTGGAATTGGTAGGTAAAATAAGATTGTTTTTAATTTAAATAAAAATCAATTAAAAAATAACTGATGGAAAAGAGCCTTGCGGTTCTTAAAAGTGGAGATAACTAAGAGTTTTATACATTCAAATCATTCAATTCTTAAGACTGTTTTGTGAGGCTGGAGAATGTAGCGTGAGTTCTAATTGGTCTTAATAATAAAAGCCCAGAGTCAGGTATAGGGTTAAATGCTGAAAGATCAGAGAAATAAAGGAGCAAACCACAGCCACCTTACTTCCTCAATTTCCCAGCCAAAAAGAGCCCGAGTTCCTGTCTCCTCCTGCCTTAACACTTCCTCTCTCCGCCATATTACTTCTTATCTGTCTGTACAGACATCCAGACCTCTGTGGTTAGCTAGTGGCTAGCTCTGCCCTCTGATCTTCAGGCAAGCTTTGTTTGTTAGAGTACAAATAAGATATCACCACAGGGGAATGTAGCTTCATGGGTAGTTCTTGCCTAGCTTGCACAACACATGAAACAAGGAGTAGTGGTGCATGCCTGTAACTCTCCAGCACTGAGGAGGTGAATTGCTTCTAGTGGAGGCAAGCTTGGGATACATAGTAAGTTCAAGGCCAGCCTGGGATATACATCCTGAATTCAAGGCCAACCTGGGATACATAGCAAAACTATTTCAGTAAAATAAAATAGAAGAAAGAGGCACTCAGGTTGTAGCTTAGCAGTAGGAGTGCTTGCCTCCTGTGGGCATAGCCCTGGGTTCTATTCCCAGCAGTGAAAGGAAAGAGAAATAAGACAGCTCAAGGACAACCTAAAGCTAATAATGACGCACTGGCACCTCACTTAGTAAAGACAAAGATGGATGCAGTGAGGTGTCTCCAGTGCTCTGCATTGGTGGCTGGAAGGTCAGCGTGGACCGTGTACCCTAGCTCACTTATCGGTCAGTAGTTTGTTGAACACGTAGGTCATGCAAATTTATTTTCTCTGTGACGAATTCTTAAACCCAAATTCATTTAATTCAGCCGTTCAAAGCCATTCTGGTGTAGATTTTTAACAACACAACTGAGAAGTCAGATAAAGGCAAAACAACTGTTCTAAATGGTCTGCTTGTTCAGATTGTACATATTCCAATCTCAGTAACTGCATCCTTGTGGATTTAATAGTTTGCAGCCAGGAAATTAGAAGTGGTAAAAAGCTCTAACCAGTAGGCGGTACTAGGTGCTATGTCCCAGTCAGCCTGGTGTTCCCTAACAGAGATGTCAGATCTGATGCCCCAGATAGCTAAATTGTTTTATGTCTTTTCAGAAAGCAGGGATAAAGCATTGGGAAAAATATGTAAATATTTTGTTGCTTTGTAAAGATGTGCCTTATTTTATGCAGCTAGAATCCGTCATTTTCTGATAACATGCTCAGTAAGTTACCACTGGATAAGTTTCCTCCAGTATTCGATACCAAACTGAACTTTAAGTGAAATGTATGTGATGTCCAATTTAAAAATCATAGCATCAAAGAAGACTCTGGTTTTAAATTGGGCCCTGATTTACAGTATAAATCAAAAAGATGTGTCTGCTAATATGCCTGGTTGTGTTTTCAGGTACCGTGACTTCCGAAACCCACCAGGGCACCCACAAGAGTATAAACACAACATCTACTATTGGCATGTGATTGCCGCCAAGCTAGCTTTCATCATTGTCATGGAGGTGAGAGAAGTGTGCTCCCAGATGGTCTACAGTCATGCATATTCGTAGGCCATCTATGTCCTTTAAGTATTGCAGACTCTGACTCTTCCTTCTAACTGGTTGCTAATGACTGTTTGAGGACAGGGGCTAATCAGTGTTGGCCTGAGAATAGATCTTCCATAACACTCTGAATGAAATGGTTGTCTGCTTTAAATGTGAAAAGGCGTGCTGTGTCTAGGGAGATTCGGTCCCACTTGATACAGTATTAACTGGGTGTCTGTCGTGTTGGGTTGTTAACGGCCTCTGCCCATGGAGCTGTGATGTGTCTGTGTTGCCATTCAGCTGCTGCACGTAGCACACCAACTCCTTCTAGTGCTCCTCTCTCTCTCTCTCTCTCTCTCTCTCTCTCTCTCTCTCTCTCTCTCTCTCTCTCCCTCCCTCCCTCTCTCTCTCTCTCTCCCCCTCTCTCTCCCTCTCAAATTAGGGCTCAGAAGACGACCCAGCTGTAGATTGTCACAGCTGTAGTTTGTCAATTGAGCTAGCCAATATCTTTCTCAGAGCGGATTAACTAGTAACAAATTACAGAGCCTCAAAATTTGTTGTGCAAGAAAGAAATCAGTCCTTGCTTGTTTAAGCCACTATAGGTAAGTTTTCTGTCATGTGTAAACACCAATCCAGCAAATTCTGAGGCTTTGCAAATCTGATTTTCTTTTTAAATACCAAAAACTAAGAAAATGAAGATGCAGCTCACCAAAGATAGGAGCCAGAGAAAAGAGGCAGGCAACTGACAAAACTAAGATTAGAATGGGGAGGACTCTGTGCAGCACCTGTAGGCCGGAAAAAACTGCAGTCCTTCTGAGCACTGACCTGTAAGTGCCGTGAGAGGGAAGAACTAAAATTTTTCCACAACAAAAACCTGTGGTAAGCCACAGGCTTTTGAAGAGACTCCTGTGAGGCTACAATAGCTTTAGATCAGAGATTCTCAACTGTGGGTCACAGGTTTTCCCATGGTCTTAGGAACTGAGACACTGCTCAGGAGCAAAATTACAGTTATGAAGTAGCAATGAAAATAAATTTATAGTTGGGGGTTCCTAAGACCATCGGAAATGTGTGTTTTCCGATGGTTGCCAACCGACAGGTTGAGGACCTACATCCTAGACAAGCATAGGCACACGGGGGAAACTGTTGGACACAGAGGCAAGTTCTTATCCCAGTGCTGGGAGGCAGAGGTGCCATGTCCCTGTGACCCAGGCCAGCCAGAGCTATACTGTGAGACCCTGGCTCAAAAACAATACAAAACAAAACTTGCAAAACTCTAAAGAGGAAAGAAGCATTAAAGCCCTTCTCACGGGTTCATGAATACAGAAGTCCTCGGAGAATGTGTATACTGAACCTACAGGATATTTTTTAAAAGACAGCATTACGCCATATTGGCTTTAACCAGAAAATGAAACCCACCGCCTGTGGGTGTTAGCAACCTGTACACAGATGAACTTGGAGAAGATGAGTTTTGCCCTTCCTCCTCACCCCCTTTCTTCACACCTGGTTGCCGCATCCCACTGCACTCACCAGCTCTACTGCTCTTCTCCCGGTGAGTTCAGGGTCCCCAAAGACATGGCAGTGTTTGCTTTCCACACTCCCCTTCCTCTCTCTCCACCCTAGCCATTCCTTCACTACCTAAGTAACTGAACCCCATATGGCTGTAGTGACTGTCCGTCAGTCTGTCCTGTGGTGAATTCCTTGAGCAGCCCCTCCACCCACATGTTACCCATCTGTGAGCACCACACAGCCAACCTCTGACAAGAAGCATCTTCTCTCTCATGGTTTCGAGAAAACACTTGTTTTTTAAAAGCAGGAAAAGAGAAGTCAAGGAAAGTGAGAATGTAATGGCATCTTGCCTGTGAACCAGTAACAGTAGGCTGCAGGGTTTCTCTGCCTTTCTGATTAGATCCACGACCCAAGAAAGAGAGATGCTTTTCTTTTTCTGCTTCTGTCTACACATGAAGCCACGCCCAAGGGGGTGTGGCCATTGTTACAGGTTCACAGGCAAGATGCCAGCCACTTGCTGGTATACCATTACATGAGAATGGTAAAGGGCTCAATTCAGCAACAAGTAACAACCATAGACAATGTCTGTTTGCACAAAAGATCTGTGTGCTTAAAGGGAGAAGTGGCCTTCAAATCATTGACAGAGATGTTTATCAGCCCCCTTTAGCTTCAGACAGGTTGTCTCTACCAAAAGTAACAAACTGTAGAGTTAAGTCTCACTCTTGACCAAGTAGGCCTGACCCACAGAACCTGTGCCCAGGGTAACACACATGTTCCTCTCCACAGAGCAGCATCCCCTAGGGACGTCACCTGGGAAGCCACAAAACAAGTCTCAGCACATTTTTAAAAATTAAAATCATACCAAGCGGCTTTCCTGAGGACAGTGCAATTATATGAGAAACTAATCAGAAAAATCTAGGGACGTACACATGTGCAGAGAAATTAAGTGACATTGTCAGACAACCAACAAATGAATAAAGAAATTAAGAAGGGATTTTTCTTTTAACTTTTAAACAAATAATAGTGGAAACGAACATGCCAAAACCTATGGAATATAATAAAGATGGTACTGAGGTAAGTTTCTATCAGTGGCCACATCAGATTAGCAGAACAATCCCAAATAGCCTGTTATCATGCCTCAAGAATGAGAAACATAAACTTCCCTCCTCAGCTCAGTCGGAGCCCAACGCCACCAAACCTTTCTGCTTGGTTATCTCCAGACAGCTGCCTTACTCCCATGTGTTCTCATACCCACTCTGGTCTACCCTAGACTCCCTCTGCTCCAGTCTACTCTCTACAATCTAACTTCTTCCTCTGGCCAGCTGCTCAGGACGGTGTTCTTAGAGCCCTTCCTGCCCCTTTTCCTTTTCTCTCACCCCTGCAGCCAAGCCTGTTGGCTTTCTCCTCAACAGTAGACCATTGACCTCTTCTTATGGTCTCGTGTGCTTTCACTGTGTGTTGGCTAGCTTCATATTGCCGTAGCGATACTGGCAGGTTTACTCTGGCTGATAGTTTTTTCCATGGTCACCTGCTGTCTTTGGGTCTCTACTGAGACAGCACCCCAAACCAGGAGAACACTATGGAGAGGTAGCTACTCCCCTTGTGGCAGCCAAAAGGTAGAGGGTAGGGAATAGAGTCCCATTGTCCCCTTCAAGTACACACCACAATAACCTAGCCTCCTCCTGCCAAACCCCATCACTTCAAATTGCAGGCTGGCAGCCAACAGTCAACACAGGGCTTTGGAGAAACTATAGAAACCAAAGTCCATCAGTCCAGAGGCACCATCATTTCTTGCCTGGCTGGGGCCTGGTCTCTACCTGGAAACTACTATGTTCTGACTTCAGAGTAAAAGCTGGAGTCTGTACTGTCCCATCCAAGGCCTCACACTGCCCAGCCTCGTCTGTGGTCCTCACCATCACTCTTCCTTCCTTCCAGCTTCGCCATTCTAGATAATGTTCTGGAAGCTTCCCCTGCCCTGACTCTGCCTTCCTGATACCTGCATGATTTGTTCCTTCACCCCTTAAAGCCTTTGATGAGTTGTAGATGTGCAAACTACTCTCATAGTGTCTATGACGTGTTCAGCATCCTGTCTGACTAAGTGGGGTTGCTCTGTTCCAGGTTCTTCCCAAGCTCTAAGCACTTTTTGACACTAGGCACAATCCATTTTTTTAAGTATTTTTATGGCAACTCATCTTAATCCATTTTTTAAGTGCTCTGATGGCAACTCATCTTTATCCCTTTTGTACCCCCAAAATATATAACCAAAGGGACTTTAGAATGGTGACTAACAAACAAAGTTTAACTTCGTTAGCAATCATAGAAGTATAAAGCTGACCAAGTCAGGATTCATTTGTAAATCAGAAAACTAGCAAAAGAAAAAAAAAAGGGGGGGGTACAGCACCAAGTGCTGACAAGATGAAGCACAGCTGAAACTGCCCAGTGCTGCTGCTGGTGGGAGCCAAGCCAGTGCAACTGCTGGGGAAAGTACTTTTTTACTTTGTAAAACCGGACATTCATTTGTCCAAGTATCTCAGCAGCACCCCCTATAGGTTCCTGCTCCTTAGAAACTTACAGAGAAAGTTCCAGGATCTATGTACTCACAAGGGCACCACTGTTACTGTGAAAACTGGAAACCAGCCTATCAGTAGGGGAAGAAATATGTTGCAGTGCAGTCACCAGGAGCATTATACAACAGTGAAAGGAAATTACCAAGCTACAGGAATGGCAGTGAAGAATTTTAGAAACTAGTTTTGAATTTAAAAGGTGTGTTCTTCCGAAGACTGTGTGGAGGGGCTGGAGAGATGGACCAGCAGTTAAGAACACCTGCTGTTTTTTTTCCCCCCGGAGGACTCAGAAACAGTTCCCAGCAACCACATGGCAGCTCACAACCATTTGTTAACTCCAGTTGCAGGAGCTCTGATGCCCCCTTCTGTCCTCCACAGGCAGTGTGCAAGCATGGTACACATACATACATACTTACATACATACATATATACATACATACATGGAAAACACACACATAAAAAATAAATTTGTTAAATGATTATAAAGTCCTATTTTTATAAATCTCAAACCAAATAAACACATAAAAAATAAATTTTTGTTAAATGATTATAAAGTCCTATTTTTATAAATCTCAAACCAAATAAGGTTAAAAACATTAATAGTGAATACATACATATTTTGCTATTTTTCTTTATAGTAAATATACTTGCACCTATAGGATAATATTGACCTTTGGGAAAGGAACAGGGAACTAGGAAAAAGTGTACAAAATACAACAGCCCTGTCAGTGGCCTGACTTTGTAACTTACAGAGGATGTGGGGGCATTTATTTTACTACTGTTTTGGTTTTTTTTTTTTTTTTTTAACTACATAGCCTAGGTGGACCTCAGACTCAGTCTCTCGTGTGCTGGGTGATGAGGTATCCATTTGCCTTGACCCTTTCTAAGTAGAAATGTGGGTGAGGATGCACACACTACGGATATACTTTTCTCCATGTGCCAGAGAAACACAGGATCACTGAACGCTAACAGGTCATTCCTGATAGCCTGTTGCTTGAGAATGAAGGGCTACAATATCTGCCTGTCCAGACATGCTGCCAAGATGACGAGCACAGATAGTCTTAAGGAGGTTGGTGGCCCCCTAACATTGTCTCCCTCTCTCCCACAGCACATCATCTACTCTGTGAAGTTTTTCATTTCATACGCAATTCCAGATGTGTCAAAAATCACGAAGAGCAAGATCAAGAGGGAGAAATACCTCACACAAAAGCTGCTTCATGAGAGTCACCTCAAAGACCTCACCAAAAACATGGGGCTTATAGCCGAGCGGATGGGAGAAGTGGTTGACAACAGTGTGCGGCCAAAGCTCGAATGAAGGAGAGTTTATGTCCCGAGAAGCACTTTAAAAAGGAATTAGCTGTCAGACGTGTCTCGAATCACTAGACGGGATGTTGTTCACTCACTCAGGCAAACAGGAGTCTTCACTGTGCCCATTTCTGCCTGTGTTGTTTTTCAGTTTCAGCTAGCAATGAAGGAACTAGAAAACGGAAAACTTTGATCAAGAAAGGCATAAAATTACCTACCTGGAAAACCTAAATATGTTCCCTGTTTTTGATAAATTTGGATTTTAGTAACAGGAAAAGCCTCGAAGCATGCTTGAGTCCTTCCTGGGGACTTTGCTTGTCTGCTCTCAAGCACTTTCCTGTGCTTAATTTTTGCATTTTGCCAAATCTATCCCAGACCTATTTTGTCCTGACAGTACCGTCACCAAAGACCAGGCATATCTCAGCCTTAATCGTTTTTGTGTTATTAACAAATAGCCAGCTCAGAATTAAGTCTGGATGCCATATTAGGTGCCAGGTAGACTGAAGAGTTCACAGTATTTCAGTCTCTCTTACTATACCCCTAAGAAAGGAGACCTCATGGCATAAGAAACAACGTCCTTCATTTCAGCCTGCATTTCCACCTCCAAGAAATACTGGTCTTAGATGGGCATGAAGAAAGAGGGTATTAAATGAAGCCTGTCCCTGTTACTCCATGGGACACCTGCCTTCCAGCAACACTCCCAGCATGCTCTGGGCCCAATCAATGTTGACTGCTCTGCAAATTGTAAGAGAGTACAATGAGAAAGGAGGAAAAAGTAACTTACTGATCTGGACATTTAATTTACTTCTTCTTAAATATGTAAGATTCTTAGGGAAATGATAATCATATGATTGTGACTGCATTGTTATCAACATAATGGGCTGGGAACTGTAAGCCCATCAACTTTGTACAAACTGACTTACCCAGAAGGAAGGCACTACAATCACGACTGGCCTTCTGCTTGTCTCCATAAAAAGGCCGGTGCCCTGACAATAATGGGCTTGGTCAGGGCAACAGCTAGCAACTTGCCCTGTCCTGTAGAACCTTTCGTTGTGGCCAGCAGCACTCACTGTGAGTCCTACTGACCTTTCTGCTTGCCACAGTGACCAGCTTCCTTGCCATCTCTTCATTTCCTAGGCCCAATAACCCGTTTGTAATCACAACCGTGCTAGAGACAAGTCTACCCGGATTACTGCCATTTGAGGGAGGAGACCCTGGATTTAGTTTGAGCCCCCAGCCTCCTCTCAGCCATCAGGCAGTTAAGGGAAGGGCTGGTTTGTCTGCCCGTGGCTTGCTGCTCAGCCCTAGCCCCCTGGTGCCTTACGCTCTCTGCTGCTCACCCGAGAGGTTTCTTGAGCCCTGCAGCCTCTATGTGCTCAGCTTCCCTCCAACAGGTCTAGAGGAGATGTTGCTACATCTCAAACCTTTACGATGGATGATAGAGGTCAGTGCTGGGTGAAGAAGGGAGGACCTGCCTCACACTGTTTGGGATGGGCCTCTGCTGACTAGATTGGTGTGAAATGCCTGGGTGCCCAGGAGTCAATCCAAGGAAAGTGAACGGGTTTAGAGACTGTCTTCTCAGGGCCATGGTTTTAAATGCCCAGAACAGTGCGTTAGAGTATCATGATTAAGAAAGCAGTGTTCTGGGCTCTTGAGTAGCCCAGTGGATCGGCGGGAACATTTTCCCACCTCCCTTGTGCTGGGAGTTCAAGAGCTGCCATACAGTATCTTAACTATGCTGAGACAGGAACGACTTGCCTCCCCCCACACCAGGGATGCTCTCACTCCACAGCTGACACCAGGTGCCACTCCCGGTCCCCACCCAGACTGCCCTGGAGAGCCTCACTCTATTACCTCTTCTCCAGAGCCTGTGCTTGTTTCCTAAGGATCGAAAGTACTGGCACTTTACTTGACAGAAAAGGAAATCTTCACATCTCTCTTTTCCTCCTTTCTTTGTATGCACAAAGAAAACTTCAAATGAAAAGTGCATTTATTTATCTATATCCCCTAGCCAAGAACTCCCTTCACAGTGTAGAAAGTGCCACCGTGGACAGGAGAAGAAAACACAAACAAAGAAAAAAAAAACAAACAAACTGATTTTCCAAAGGGAGCAAGTGTGGTTTCTGACAGCACCAGAGTGCTGAAGACTAAGTAGAAGTGAGCTGTAGAGTCCCATGGCATCAATATCAGTCCTATGAGACCTGTGCCAAGTTGGTGGTGGAGGGGAACAAAGGACACCTGCAGAGGCAGTCTGCATCTGCAGAGCAGTGAGGTAGTCCCCAGACCCAGGACATCAAGGGCATGACAGTGGCCCGTGGGGGAAGAATCCAGCCCTCCACCTGTCCAGCGTTAACCACTAGCAAAGTTTATATTGCCTTTGAATCTTAATCAATTGAATCAGTAGACCCAATACTCAGGGGATTTTCCTTTACATGTTCCTCAGATCTTTTAGGTAGTCCATTAGAATAGAAGGCCGTAATTTGTCTTGAAAGCCAACAAGGCCATCTTGTAACAAGTTTGTCAAGTTCTCCCCTTTGTAGTGTCCATGAGTAGTGAGTTTCATAGGACATCACACTTATTGGTGGCAGAATACAATATGTATTGGTTACACACTTCTTGTGCTCTCCTTTCGTTCCCATTATGGTTGAAAAGTGGAAGCAGTGCACAGCTTAGCTAAAAAGGGACTGAAATTCACGATGCTTCCTGTGCAATGTAGCGTCGATGTTGTTTGTAACTGATGTTTGTTCATTTCTATGCCTTTTAATATTTTTTAATTATGAGCATTTTAATAAATTCAGTTTTACAAACATTTCTGTGGTCTAACTAGGTTTAATTGTCTTACTAATGTGTTTAAGGGAACTGGTTTCTGAGATTTGCCAGCAACTGGTTAAGGATAAGTTAGATAATGGATGTATACCACTGTATAGAGTATATCTAAAATTACTTTACATGGCCTGTGGTTTCATGGACTTTCTTAAAAGATTAGGGATGGGGTTCAGCCAGGATAGCTGCTAGAGATGAACTGAGCCTGTCAATCCAGGGGAACTGAAGATTTCCCAAGCCAGCTACGCTAGAGTTACTAGTGAGATGACAGCCTTTGTCACTGTCTTGTTTAGGGTTTCTATTGCTGTGAAGAGACACCATGGCCTTGGCAACTCTCACAAAGGAAAACATTTAATTGGGGCTGGCTTACAGTTTCAGAGGTTTAGTCCATTGACATCATGGCAGCATACTGGTAGACACGGTGCTGGAAAAGGAGCTCAGAGTCCTACATCTTGCTACGCTGGCAGCAGAAGGTGGGTGAGTCACACTGGGTGCAGCTTGATCACAGGAGACCTTAACACCCTGCGCCCCCCACATACACACCGTGACACACTTCCTCCAATAAGGCCATACCTTCTCCAACAAAGCCACTCCCTGTGGGAGCCATTTTCTTTCAAACCACCACAGTCACCCTCTTTAGGTTGTTTTGTTGGAAATGTGTCTCGCTGTAGCTCAGACTGGTCTCACCCTCTCAAGTTCTGGAACAATACATGAACCATCACACATGGATCTTAAATGCACTTCAAAACAATACTAATAAGAAACTTTAAACATTATAAGCCCAGCTAAGGGTTACTACAAGTTTACTTCTAAAACAAAGCATCCCCTTTTCAATGGGGGAACTTCAGCAACTGACCAGAAGATGCAAATTTTCCAACCAGTAACTTAGAGACTTTTGCATGTTTGTTTCTGCTTAAAATTTTTAAACGTTTTTAAAGGAATCTTCAGAAGACAAGGTGGCTAAATAGATGCACCCAGTACTCATTTTTCTGTCCACCAAAGAACCAAAGTGGCAGGTGCTTAGAGGCACAGGAGGTGACTGAACACTGGAAAAGAGCAAGAGACTGACTGGACTCTTGAAAGACTGAGAGGTAGGGCATGATATCACCCTGGTTTCAGAGCCACGGGTGCAGGAGTGAGGTGGCCTGTGAATGAATAGCTCAGTAAGATTAACACACACACACACACAGACACACACAGACACACACACACACAGACACACACACACACACACACACACACACAGAGAGAGAGAGAGAGAGAGAGAGAGAGAGAGAGAGAGAGAGAGAGTCACAAAAGCCTCAATAACAAACTGGATCAACAGAAAGAAAAAGGAAGGAAGGAAGGAAGGAAGGAAGGAAGGAAGGAAGGAAAGAAGGAAGAAAATCTGACCACCAAACCAAACTGTTGAAATGACCTATTCAAACAAAGGGGGTGGGGGAGAGGAGAGGAGAATAGAGGGAGAAGGGAGAGAAAGGAGGGTGAAGGCATTCAAAGTGTTTAAAAACAAACATGCATTTTCAGAATACCGAAGCCTAGACTTGTCTTGAAAGGAAACAGCACCCAAATTTGGACAAATCTAAAAGTCAAACTCCTGCATATCCCATCTCGGGGATTCCACAGACATTCTACCATACTGTCTCAGCTGATGGTTTCCCCATGAGCAGACTTGACTTGATGGAGTGACTGTCACAGACCAAATGTTATGATGTGAATATCAAATGTCCCCTACATGGTCATTTAGTGCATGCTTGGTCACCAGCTAGTGGCACTATCTGGGGACATTGTGAAAAATTTAGGAGATAGGAGATAGATGGAAAAAATAGGTTACTAGGGGCATACCTTTATGCCTGGTCCCCAGACCCTTCTTCCTCACTCAGCCTTCTCTACCACATGCTCCTACCATCTGCAACTATAGTCCCAGAAACCAATGACTATGTATACTGTGCCTTCTGAAATGTAAGTAAGTACTATCTTACTATCTTGTTAATGTTAGGCATTCTGTCATAGTCATCAGAAAGCTAACACACCCTTGAGTGCTACATAATGGGGAATGGGTGTGGCAACACAGAAAGGAACCAAAAGTACCATCCATAAGAACTGGGGGTCTGGGCTGGAGAGATGGCTCAGAGGTTAAGAGCACCAATTGCTCTTCCTGAGTTCAATTCCCAGCAACTACATGGTGGCTCACAACCATCCCTTATGAGATCTGGTGTCCTCTTCTGGTGTGCAGATATACATGGAAGCACAATGTTGTATACATAATAAATAAATAAAATATTAAAAAAAAAAAGAACTGGGGATCCAGGAGCCTGCTGAGACCAGTGTATGGCCAGTACATGTGGCTCCATTTGGGTGCCACTCCACTCCCCCCATCTCAAAAAAAAAAAAAAATCTGAGTTTCTTCTACAGCCAAGGGCCTGGTTGTATCCCCAACTCCAAGGTACAGAGTGACAAAGTCCAGGTAGAAACTTATTGATATCATCGTCATCCTACTCCTCCTGGCTCCAGTGAGCACCTCAGCCTAGAGCAATTTTGCCTGGCTCCATCTGTGACCCACATCTGCTTGATCTGGTGAGCATTAAATCTAAAAGCACCAGGCAGAAGACCTTGTCCATCACCCATCCACCCACAAGCATGCACAGCTGGGAGGGAAGCCCTGCGCCTAAGCACAAAAGCCCACAACAGCAGTAGAATGAACAATTTGTCCTGTGCCAGCACTTCCGTATGTCACCTACATTGATCACTGGCACCTTGCCTCCTTCTGTTGTGTTGACGAAACCCCATGAACATTACGGAGCAGGTACTGTGATTCTTGACCCTGCTTCTCATTAAGTGCCTGGTTCCACATCAGTGTCAGAGGGCAAACATGTTAGGCTCCTTGGAACTATTAGGGCCACCATACCATGATTCACTCAATTCACAGTGCCTGAGGAAGCCCGATACAGAATACCACATGGAAAAGTTACAAGGGAGCACACATAGTGATGCCAACACCATACATCTCAAAACTTCTAGAATATCTACACTCATAAAAATCAACTCCTGATCTCTCTGTGATTTCCCTGTGATGGCTAATTTTATGTGTTAATTTGATTAGATAGAAATAAGTCTAGAAGGTTAGTATGGCACACCTCTAGGTGTGTCTGTGAGAGCATTTCCCAGGACTGATAGAACATGAGGGCTCTGACCTGACAGGTGGTTTGAAAGAAAATGGCCCCCATAGGGAGTGGCACTATTAGGAGGTGTGGCTTTGTTGGGTGTGCCCTTGCTGGAAGAAGTATGTCACTGTTGGTGTGGGCTTTGAGGTCTCCTATGCTCAAGCTATGCCCAGCGTGGCACACAGTTCACTCCCTGTTGCCTGCACATCAAGGCGTAGAACTCTCAGCTCCTTCTCCAGCACCATATCTGCCTACATGCCACCATGTGTCCCCACCATGACGATAATGAACTAAACCTCTGAAACTAACCTAGTGCCAATTAAATGTTTTCCTTTGTAAGAGTTGCCATGGTCAGCCGGGCGTTGGTGGCGCTCGCCTTTAATCCCAGCACTCAGGAGGCAGAGGCAGGGGGGTCTCTGTGAGTTCGAGGCGAGCCTGCCAAAAAAAAAAAAAAAAAAAAAAGAAAGAAAGAAAGAAAGAAAAGAGTTGCCATGATCATAGTGTCTACTCATAGCAATGGCAACCCTAAGACACTTACCAAATGATTAACCCATTCATGGATTCAGAATTTGAATAGAATACAGGAAGTTATAGGGCTGTGAAAGTTGAGGTATACTTAGAGAAGTGAATCATGGATGTTCTAGTTAGGTTGCTGTTGCTCTAATAAACCCATGACCAAAGTAAAGAGTTTATTAGGCTTACACTTTCACATGAGTTATCATCGAGGGAAGCTAAGGCAGGACCTGAAGCAAAGACCATGGAAGAACACTTACTGGCTTGTTCACCTTACATTCTTATACAACCCAGGACCACCTTCCACCCAGGGTGGCACTTCTCACAAGGATTGGGACCTTCCACGTTAACATTAATTGAGAGAATGTCCCAAAGGTTTGCCTGCAGGCCAATATGATGTAAAGGATTCCCTCCATTGAGGTTCCCTTTTCTAGGTGACTGTCACAGGGCATATGTCTTTGCAGAGTCTATATCTGACCTGGCCCCTCCCCATGACTCTTGTTTCTTGGTTGTCCATGGGTGAGCACCTCTGCCCCACCACACCATTTCACCATAATGTTTTGTCTCACACAGGCTTGGGAACAATGGACTCTGCCCACTATGAACTATAAGTCCTGAAACTATATCAAAACAAGCCCTTTCTTTCCTTAGTGGTTTCACTCATGTTTTTTGTCAGAGCTGTCAGACTCCAATGTGATAATGATTTGTGCCGAAAGTCACTGATCACAGCTAAGGGAACAACTATGATATGAGGTTGTTAGTAAACTCAACATTGTATGACAGATTGACACCCTGAGACACATCTTTTAGAGAAATCCACTCACTAAGATGGCCTTGCCAATAAGGGTAGGAGAGAGATTCATTTTACCAGATGTATAAACCTCACATTAAGACATGAAAAAAAAAAAAAACTAATACGACACCTGCTAAATCATGACTCTCCAAAGACACTGAAATATCTGCTAAGGAATTCAAAAGAATGATTGTTTTAAAAGGTCAATGAGATCAAACAAAATACAAATAGTTAAAATGAAAGACAAAGCCAGATATGAATAAGAATATACCAAGAAAAAGGGATTTTTTTATAAAGATTCAATAAAAAATCTCAAAACCAGAAAATTTTATGTGTCATAAGTTGCCTGCACATCAAGACGTAGAACTCTCAGCTCCTTCTCTAGCACCATATCTGCCTACATGCCACCATGTGTCCCCACCATGACGATAATGAACTAAACCAGTTGGAAGTATGAACAGACTGGATTAAACGAGAAAGAACCTCAAGGCTTGAAAATAAGCTTTCAAAACAGCAAGG